GCCTCAGCCTCCCAAGTGCTGGGATTACAGGTGTGTGCCACCACGCCTGGCTTGTGCTAGGTTCTGATATCATGGAGAAAGTTCAGATCCAATCCTTGTGGGACTTCTAAGCTGCTGACAGAGACCAGGCAGGCAGAAAGAGAGATATAATGGCTAGAGTCTGGAAGAGGTCCTGACCAAGCAGGCAACGCTTCCTGATCTGTGACCCAGATTAGAAAGACAAGGAGCTGTTACCAGGTGAAGAATATGGTGCCAAGTTCCAAAGTGAGAGGTCAGCTGGAAGGCATGTTCGTGCTGGAGCCCGGGAGAAATGGAAGGTCAGACTGGTCAGTGCTGACAGAATGGAGAGAAGGCTTGGGAGTGGGATTCTTCCCATCTTACATGCTAAGTATCTCAGGGATTCCCATACCACCCCCTTCTTTTCTCTGCCACTCTTGCCTCCTTTTCATACCTGTGCCAGTCATTTCACTTCTGACTTAAACTATAGCATAAGCCCTTCCCTGAGTCACCCAGCCGCTGTCTCTGCCAGTACCCGCCAGCAACTGGAAATCTTGTTGAAATGCTAATCCCAGCTTGTCACTTCTAAATCCCTCCTGACTCTTCATGCCCGAGTTCCCTTGGCTCAGCTTTCAAGACCTCTTGACCTCTCTCAAGAGGTGCCCTTCACCTCCTAGACCATTGCTCCTGCTCCCCCCCCACACAGCTTCAGACCTGAGTGTATTTCCACACGTGTCTGCACACCTTCTCTTTCCTGAGTCTGCTGTCCATTGTGTACGTGACACGCATGACAGATTTCTCAGTTCAGACTTACCTCCTCTGTGCTTACTTCCCTGACCCTACCAATGCCACCACTGTCCCAGCCCTCCCTGTTTGTAGTTCATAGTCACTCATATCCCATAGTTTGTAGTGCATCTTCCCCCCTAACTGTGGATTCCTTGAGGGCAGGCAGGCTCATGTTGAGTTTGTGTCTGTGACCCTCCTGCCTGGCAGAGACTCTGGCACACAGGGACATCAGTGTCTATCTTTGAAGGAATGAACAAAATAAGAAGATCCCTCTTGGTGTTCTTGAAGGAGAGACCCTTGGACCAGCACTGGCAGAAAACACAGGACTCACAGAACTTAACATAAGCTGGAATCACCTCCGAGGCCCAGGAGCTGTAGCGTTTGCCAGGGGATTGGAGGTATGAGATCCCCACCACGTCAGCCCCTGGGGCAGGTCTCCTGGATGCCAGCTCCTTGTCTTTCTTGCTCTTCAGAAATGAACCTTGGATCTTTTAAGCAGAGGTTACAGGATATTTCTTTAGGTTACTTTTATTTCATTGGCCTCATTTTATGACTAGATACACTATGTCCACCCTCATGTCACTTACTGAAAGGTCCACAGCTGAATGTCGGATACCTTTTCCAGACATTGCAGACATTCTGGTGTGCTTACAGTTGACACACACATGCTGTCCTGAGATGACACCCTTGCACCTGTGGATGCCAGCACACCTTCTCAGACATCCGACCTGCTCCCTTGCAGGTTATGAATCATAGTTTTGGGACTAGGAAACCAGTCCCTACCAGGGTATCACTGGCACCTTTTTTTTGATACTGGGAATCAAATTCAGGACCTTGTGCTTGCCAGGCAGGCACTTGTGCCACTGAGCTGTATCCCCGGCCCTGCACTGGCATCTTCAGTGTCCTAGTGCCAACTAACTTTATGTGGTCCCCCTCGGGAAATCAGCCACTGCCTCATCCGCTTAAACAGGGACTGACATGGCCCTGCCTCACAGGGTGGCAGTCAGGTTCAGGCTTGTCAGAGGATGCACCCTTCTCCCCATTGAAGTCCCTGGGAGAGGTTTCATCCAGCAGCCCTTCACTGGCCCCTGGGGCTGCTCTGAGTCTCAGGGTCATTTGCCCTTGAGACGCTCCCACAGGGGTGTGGCTCTGATCACTGTGTCTGTGGCCTGCTGTTGCCTGGTTCCTGAGGTCATTCACATCTACATCCATTTTCCTCTGTTGGACCTCTGTGGGGCTCTGAGGCTGTGGCTCCTGGCTTTCTCCACCATCAGATGCGGTCCCATGGCTTCATTCTTTTGCTCTAGGCAAACATCTTCCTGAAAGTCCTGGACATCTCTTACAATGGCTTTGGAGACCCTGGAGCCTTGGCTGTGGCTGAGGCCCTGAAGACCAACAATGTATTGGAGGAACTCAACATGAGGTGAGAAGCACAGGGTTCCCCTGCCCAAAGACAGGGGCACCACAATCTCACTGTTGTTCCATTTGATTTCTGAACCTACCACAGTCTCCCCAGGATCGGGGGTTGAATCACAATCCCAGAGCACCCAGCTCTGTCCTTCTCTCTTAATATGATCACTTACAGCCAGGTAATTCCAGCACTCTGGAGGTGAGACCCTATCTCAAAATTTAAAAATGGGCTGGGGCCAGGTGTGGTGGTGCATACCTGTAATCCCAGCACTTGGGAGGCTGAAGCAGGGGGATCATTGTGAGTTCGAGGCCAGCCTGAACTGCATAATGAGATCCTGTCTCAAAGAGACCAAAAAAAAAAGGGCTGGGGACGTAGCTCAGTAGAGAGGTCCTGGGTTCAATCCCCAGCACCAGGAGAAAAAAAAAATCCTCACTGTATGTTGAGATTTATCATTCCTATGGTGCAGGCAGGTGGCTGGGGATCATGGACATGTGTATAAAGCATCTTCAGAGGGCCTGGTGCAGGATTGGCACCCCATGTGAGCTTTCATCCCTCTCAGAGCAGCCTAGTCTGGATGGGACAAGGTAGAGCTGACAGGTGGGCCCATGGATACGCTTTCCTTAGCACATGGCTACTAGGAGCCTACTCTGTGTGGGGTGCTTGTCCAGTCCAGGCAGTGTCTGGAGCCTCAGTAGGTAACAGGGCAGGGATAAGCACAGTGAAAAGAAAAGAGATAGGGGCCAGGAAGATGATGGGTCACCTTACCAGGGGGCTGCCCCTGTGGGCAGGGAGACATCATTCAGTCCGGCCCACCTTTCCTACCCATGGGAAGAGCCAAGGCTAGAGACAGCCTTAAGAGATGATGAACTAGATGTAAGAAGTCGGAAAGGAGTGGACTGGTTCTGCAGACAAAGTGGCCCAGAGCTGAGGCCTGGGATTTGGGTCCAGCAGAAGGAGGAGGAAGAAAGGATGTGGACACAGAGGTGGGAGATTTTCTAGAACAGATGTCATGGTGATAGGCCTGAGGTGCTAGCTGCGTAGAACACGTGAGAGCACCTGCTGAGTTTTAGAGGGCTGGGGAGTAGCAGCTGGCCTCTACCGGAGGGAGGCACACTCTAGGTGTGTTTGCTGGGTGGTCTTCTGTAATACTGCGAGCCAACAGCGAGAGAGTTTCATATCTTTACACATGGGGACGAGTAGAAAGCTGGCATGTGAAGCCCAATTTGCAGGATGGAACAGCAACTCCAGGGCAATCAGCCCTGAACAAATAAATGTTCAGAAGGCTGCAAAGTGCATGTCTTTTTATAATTAATACATATTAATTATATATATCCATGTGGTTTGGTGTGATGTTTTCTTCATGTACATGCACCAAGTTCAACCTTTTTCCACCCTTCCTCTCCCCATACCCTTTTCAGTCTCTAGTAATCACTATTAGGTTTAGTTTTAATTTTAGCCCTAAGTTTTCATTTCACATAGGAGAGAGAATACGCAGGAGTTTTCATTTTGGGGATACTGGATAGGGATCAAGCCCAGCTTTGTGCATGCTAGGCAAACACTCTTATCACTGAGCTACACCCCAGCCCAAAATACGCTGCTTTTATCTCTGTGCTTGGCTCACATCACTTAACAACGTAATGTCCTCCATGTGAATGACAATGAGAGGATTTTATCCTTCTCTGGATACTGCTCCACTGTGGATGAATACCACATTTTCACCTGTTGATGGACAGCTAGATTGATTCTGTGTCTTAGTATGATGCATGTCTTTTATGTTGCAGCAATAACCGCATCTCCGCAGAGGGAGCGCTGAGCCTGGGGCGGGGCCTCCGGGACAATCAGACCCTGAGGATTCTTGTTGTGAGTGTTGACCTGGGGGGTAGGGCCCAGCACGTAAGTGCCCTGTGTCTGTTGACATAGGATCGTCCCCCACGACAGTCCCCAGGCCAGGGGCAGTGGATAGGCAGCAGAGCACACAGGCCCCACAGCCCTGAGGGGAGTCTCTGCCATTCACTCTTTCACCTCTGGCCTGGCCCATACCAAGCTTCAGACTCCTCCTTACCCCACCCTTCCCTCCTGGAGCAGCCCCTCAATTCCATGCTGTCTTTCCTCCTCTGCCGCCTGTGAGGGTGATGTTCTGCTGAAGGGGCCAGAGCACCTCTAGCATTACCTTTGTCTTCTCCCTGCTTTTTTGTCTGGCCTTGCTGGAACTCAGGTGAGCCCAGGTATAGCGGATGGCCACTACATACACCTCCTGAGGCCTGTGTACCTGCACTAGTTCCCTTCCTCCAGCGTTGTGGGACAGAGGGAGCCACTGAGCAGGGCTGAGAGCCGGAGACAGACACAGAGAAGGGAGGCAGCCAGGCAAGGATGGAGGAGATGCTGGAGGACGGCTGTGCCAACAGCATAGGCCTAAAATGTAAGAACTCTGAAAACCCAGCCAGAATGCATCACTAAAAAATTTCTTATTTTAGAAAAAAAAATTTTTTTTTGTCTTTTTGAGACAGGGTCTCACTATGCAGTGCAGGCTGGCCTTGAGCTCACTTTGGAGCCCAGGCTGGTCTCAAACTCACAACGATCCTCTTGCCTCAGCCTCCCGAGTGCTGGGATTATAGGTGTGTGCTATCACGCTTGGCTTAAATTGTATTTTTAAACATGTACTTATTTATTTATACCTTACCTCCTTCTGAGGGCTGCCTCTTGGCAGGGAGAACAAAGGCAGAAAGAAGTCTAACCTGTCTTTCCCTTCCCCACCTCTGCTGTCTGCGGTCTCTCACCTCCTGCAGAGTGCTTAGGCTGCTGACTTCTCCCTTTTCTCACTGCCGCTGGTCTGGGATCTGTTGACCTCCGAGTTTCCCCAGTCCTGCTCCTTCCTTCCCACCAGATAACCTTTCTAAGCCAGAAACGTGCCCGTGGCATTCCTGCTTTAAACCTGTCACTTCTGATAAACTCAAGCTTCATAGTTCATTACTCATAGCTCTGCCAATCCCGCTCTTCCAAGTTCACCACTCTCATCCGGGGGTGCTCAGAGTTCTTTGCATTCACACACGCACGCACGCACGCACGCACGCACACACTCAGTTTACTATGTCCCACTTCTGTTTTTGCTCCTGTTGCCTTGCTGAAGTGCCACCACCAGCACCTACAAAGCTTAGGTCCAGGGTTTTACTCTCCAGCCTCTCCTCCCAGCTGGGTCTGCGTACACTTTCATTGAACTTACTGCACTGAGTTCGATGTTTCCTTCTCCTCCCTCCCTCTAGCGGGTAAGCTCTGTAGGGCCAGGTGTGTTTTGTGTCTGCCTCTTTGGTACCTAGCACAGAATCAGGCAAGGGCTGGGTGCCCAGTCAGCCCCACTCCCTTCCCATCTTCCTCAGTCCAGTAGCCCCACCCAGGATACTCTGCCCTGTGGAGACACTTGCTCAGCTGAGATGGTGGGACTGACTGAACTAGCCATGTCATCAGAGCTGAGGAGTCCACCTTCCCTTGCAAGTTGTTCTCCTACTTCCCCAGGCTTGGCTTCTCTCAGTACTCTGTGTGTACGTCATTCTCAGGTATCCAGGAATCCCATGCAAAGTGAAGGCTGCTTCGGTCTCCTCAAGTCTGTCCAGGACAACCCAGCATCTGCCCTAGAACTGCTGGATATCTCTGTAAGATCTTTCATAAGCTTTATCTCTGATCCTCCAACAGCCCTGTGAGCTACTATCATCTCAATTTTAGAGGCAGAAAGTGGGGATTAGAGAAATAAAGTGTCTTGCCCAGGTACACCATGTGGCAAGGTCAGAGTTCCAATCTGTAGGGAACTTCCTTGGTCTCTCATTGTACCCCGCAGAGAAACGGTGGTAGGTATGAGAAAAATAAAGACAAGAGACAAGAGCTGGGGTCAGGTGGAGTTACCTCTTGCCTGATGAGCAAGAGGAGTGCCCCAAAACAATAAAGCGTTTATTTACACCCTGGAGAGGTTGGTTAATTTTTTGTCTCTCTGCCCAGCAACCTGTTAACAAGTTACAAAGGCTTGTTTACTCCAAGGGGCTTGTTTCCTTCGAGGAGCTCCAGTGTTTTCAGGCTGGCTTCATCCTGCAAGTGTAATTATTTTGCAGCTTCTGCAGCTCCCAGGACCAATCCAGGCCTGAATGTAGGTCATGATACAGCTCCAGCTCTGCTTCCACTCCCGGCTGGTAGCTTTGCTATGGTCTCTCTCACCTTGGCCCCCTGCCTGGGCTCTTCACTGGCTGGAGAGGAGGTTGAGGTTAGGGTTTGATGCTCACTGTCCACTTATGTTTAGATCTGCAGGTTCAGCACTTGCAAGGTTGCCTTCTCCCCCTGCCCCGTGCCCTGACCTACACTGCTTGCAGGTAGATTCTGGCACTGGGAGATTCATGTGTGTAATTATGAGGAAGGTTACGACTCCTTTTCATTCATTGTTGCCTTTTTAATACAGAAAAAGGTCACTCTTCTAAGGCAGTTAATCATCAATGAGAGAATTTTGTTGTTGTTGTTGTTGTTTTTGAAATAGGGTCTCATTATGTAGTTCAAGTCAGTCTTGAACTCACTGTGTAGCCCAGGCTCGCCCCATACTTGAGGCAATCCTCCTGCCTCAGCCTCCCAAGTGCTGGGATTACAGGCATGTGCCACCACATCCATCTAAGAGAATCTTAGAATTTTTTGTATGTGTGTGGAGCTTGTGTTATAACGCAGGGCTTCACCCATGTAGGCAAGCACCGTACCACTAAGATACAACCCCAGACCCCAAAAACATGAATTATTAAAAGAAAAGTCAGGCCGGAGATACAGCTCAGTGGTACAAGCACCTGCCTGGCATGTGCAAGGTCCTGAGTTCAATTCTCGGTACCATAAATAAATAAAGGAATAAATAAAGAAAGAAAGAAAGAAAGAAAAAAAAAAAAGTCGAGCTAAACTTTGGCTTATTTCAACCCACATCTTTCAGATTTTGAGACAACTGATGTCTCCATTAGTCCAAAGCCAGCAATTAGGTTGCATCTCTTCTGCTTTGAAAATGCTTGTCAGCACTGGACACTGTTCCTCAAAGGCGAGGGTGGTGTATGAAACTGTCCTGCCAAAGTACATGTTATTCAGTATGATGTGTCGGCACTAGCTGAGGTATTTTCATTAGTACAATGAAAATACCTAGGGCTTTGGAGGCAGTTCTAGCCTGAGGCTAAATCCCAGGTCTGTTAATGTGGGATACTGCACAAGATTCTCAACCAGAGAATCATCACAGTAGCTTGTATCTGATGTTCCATTTGCTATTCTTTAAATGTTAATCAGTCTAAGATGACTAGCCATATATGTGTGTGTATATATATATATATTTATGAGTGTGTGTATATATATGTGTGTGTATATATATATGTGTGTATATATGTGTATATATATGTGATTGTGTGTATATGTGT